TGGATATGGTTCACTTTTTTGCAGACATTGTAGTAAAAGTGTGTCGTGATGTGGAAGAAAGCACAGGTACTTTGGGGAGGATCGGTCAAACAGATGGCACTCAAAGGGTTGCATGTTGCAGAAGCAGAGGTTAACATGCTAAGAGTCGAGAGTAGATAAGCAGAGGGGGCAGAGTTGTGAAGGATCTTGAAGGTCAGGATAAGAAGCCTGAACTGGATGTGGTGCAAGGGGTGGACCCACTGGAGGGATTTACAAGGGGTAGTGATGTGATCCGAGTTGCAGGTAAGGAAGATAAAAATAGCAGCAGCTTCTTTGTGGGGGGTGATATAGGTGACGAGGAAGCCAAAGAGGAAGAAGTTGCACTATTGAAGACAGGAGGTGATGATGACAATTTTAGGCCTCTGCTTATTCCTTCCTCTCTTTTTCTGTTTATGCTCTGTGCTTTCAGAGCACTGCCTGTGCTCATACACTACATTCCGAATTTGTAAAATGCCCTTTACCATGGCTTTCAGCACGCTCAGTTTTGCTTCCAAGCCCCACTCTCTTTTAGCTATTAATACTACTGCCTTCCTGCTTCCAGGCCTTCTCCCTCTATATGCTGCTAGTTTCTTCAAGGCCTCTCTTCCTATCGGCTCTCCTCTCTGCTTTCATACTTTCCTTCTGTCTCAGGTCCTGTATCCTCAGCCGTCCTCACCCATACATGCACACTGCAACACGCACACAGACATCCGGGTCACCAGACTTTCTTTGCCATTGAAGCTCTGGAAACACTAAGGCCCTCATTCAGGAAAGCATCTCTATTCAGGACACCACTCAAGCACCTTCTTAAGTGCTGTCCTGAGTTGGGATCTTGCAGCACACTGCCATGTTCTTAATGCACTGGACAGGAAAAGGAAGGAATGTAGAATCATCTCCCAGTGTAATGTGAACTAATTTTCTCCCCTTTCCTATGCCACCAATTATTCACCCGCGACAATCTGAGTGGCTGGCAACTTCAATACAGAATATTCCAAATTCTAATGGGGCTTTAACCTCTATGGCTTTGGTTTCAACACAAAATTTCAAACCCACAATGTCCAAATGAATGCAGGATTTTCCCCTCAGTGCGCTCCTCCCATCCTTAGTGGAATGTTTTTGCATATGATATTTAGGAGGATTATTAAACACAAGTGAAATAGATTAAGAAATGAATGTAAAATAATCAATTCTTTGAACTGTGGTTGCATAATGGAAATCGACTGCTATGAATGAACTTATGTTCCGAAGTTATGAACAGCAGAGCTAATGCACTGCCATGAGTTCATCTTTATTATTGCATTACACCTGAATCTATTGATAAAGTAGAGGGTTTTTTAAGCTAGGGATGGCACTTAATTGAATAAAAGTCAATGTAATTATATTAGGAAAAGCCAACAGTACTGCTGACAGCGGAAAAGGGACACTGCTGAACAGAGTGCCAGAACTTGTCCACACATTTCTGCACATCGTTTAGCTGACAGATATTAAGGGCTGGTACATAGATTAATTAGATTACTGATTGCCACTGCTGTAAGTGAGAATTGAATCAGGGAGGCATCTTGCCCTATCATAGCATCAGTGGGGTTGCATCTTTTCACAGATCATCCTCAGGAAGGCATATGTCCATTTGGGGGTCTCAACGCATGCTTTTTAACCATATTAATTTATTGTTATCTCTTCAATGAATTTTGAAATTATTTTCACTACACATCTGGCTGCTGTTTTCCTAGCAGCAAATTGAGGAAATAGTAAGTGCAGATGTGTGAGAAACGACAGACAGCTAAAGTTAACCCAGCCAGTTTTACATGGAAGCACATTCCCATATTCTTTTTAGTGTGAAATCAAGGGTTGGGGAAAGGAGTAGGAGAAATAGTAAGAAATAAATCCAGAAGAGCATTTCAGGATTTTGCAGTTAGCTGTTATTTTGATAAGCACAACTGTGCTTTTACACTCATGCAATAACTCTGGTGATACCATAGCCGCTTGTCAGCATATATAGGCTTCCACAGTAAGTATTTCCTATGCCATGCTTAGCAACTTCCACTTGGAGTCATCTACCATCTGACACTGGAAAGGCAAGGAACAACTGTGTTGAAGCAGGGACTATAGGGACAACTTCTGTTTATCATTCATGTCTGTACACACTGCTTGCATCTGTTTAGAGCTCATTTGTGGATGATGATGTGAATTTGCTTTGTCTAATTTGATTTATGATTTTGGATTGTGTGGCTGATCCAATATCCACCACGACAGCAGTGTAAGTGAGCTGATGGCTGACAGAAAATGATCTCACAGTCCACACATTTTTTAACCTGTATTTTATCGTTTTAAGATTTTGTTTATTTTTTAAACCAGATATGTCTGGATTGGAATGTGAATTTGTTCTCTCTCTCTTTCTCTCTCTCTTCTCTCTCTCTCTCTTTCTCTTTTGTGATCTCGATTTAGCAAAAGATTAGAAAGCTGATCTTATCACAAGGTAAGCTCAGCCTTCATAAGTGCAGTGTGGGGATGTGTATAATACACTTCTGTGCCTACGAAAAGCAACAGTACTATATTTGCTTCTGTGAAAAGTGTGTTTCCCACATGGGAATAGAACAATAAATGCTTTCCACTTTTCTTTACCCTTGGACATACCTCTCAACTCTCTCTCTCATTATGAGAGCTCCATTTTGGATCCAAATTTACCTACATCCTGTGCAGATCTGGTTGGAATAAAATGAAGTGCAGTATCAGTTTGACATCCGATCCATCCTCAGTCTGAGAACAGTAACCTTCACTTGCAGGAGAATGGGTTTGATCCTTTCTACTCTAACTTCTCACGTTTATCACTGTAAATTATGTACAACAGACATGATGAATCATGAAATAGTTAATAGAAAATTAAATAAATTAACCCCACATCATTTTAACGTTTCTGCATTAGTAGTTGTCTTATGACCCATACTGAGTCACTGTATCATATTTGGGACTTCAGCTGGTTGAGAGATATGCTCTTGTGGGTTTTCTAAAAATGAAGTTTCCAGTTAGGAAATACTGCCCATACCTGACTTTTAATTTTTTCTTTTGATGCTACTCTAGGACCCGAAAGTACAGAGAACATTGGGTCATTATGTGCCCTCTTGTCCAATTTTGTATCCAGTACTTTTGATCTTTTTGTGTGTTATGCTATTCCATTGATAAATCCTCTCTCTCTCTCTTTCTCTCTCTCCCTCCCCACATTCAGACTCTGATCTTCAATTTATAATGAGCAGGCAGACCTGGTGAGCCTGCATGTTGTAAATTGTAGGATTCATGTCCTTAGTTTGCAAACTGAAAATGTTAAGCAGTGGAACTTCACTAATTCTTACTCACAAATTTGAAATTCCAATCATTCTCCCCTCAAAATATCAATCTCATCCTACTTCTCAGCAATGGTTCAAAATCAGAGTACTCTAATGTGAGGTCTTATAATTACTAAAACTTTATTTTGTATTATCGTAATTAAAATGAAGCATTTACCAAACATACTTTCTGTGATGAAGTGTTTTGATATTTTTATCATGTTTGTTGGTTTACTCACTAATTTTAAAAGTTTTCCACTCATTTGTGCAAATCAGTGAAGTTCTACTGTGCTTAAAATCTATAGACTGTCTAAAAGGCTTATATCAAAAATGGAGAGTAAAATTCAATGTTTCAAATAGGAGACTATATTTCACAATTACTGAGATGAAGCCTTACGTTTCACTGCATATATAGATCCTTAATTCTTGAAGATAAGACCTTGATCCAGCAAAGCACCTGAGAACATGCTTAACTTTAAGCTCTTGAGGCCTGATCCAAAGCCCACTGAAGTCAGTTGGAGCTTTCCCAGAGACTCTGGAATAGTCCCACTGATTTCATGCTTAAAGCTAAGCATGTGCTTAAGTGTTTTCATGGATTGACGTCAAAGCCCTGTGCATTCATCCATAATTTTTACTGGAAATTCTATTGCTTGAGTCATTTCAAATTGCACTGGACCAAGCACTAGGAAACATACTTTGGAGAACAACAACCCTGCTCTGACAGGAGGATGGACCAGATGACTTTGGGTGAGATTTTTAAAAACATCTAGTGGCTTTTCTTCACCGTGCAGCAGTGAACACTAGAGGGCTGTAAATTGTAGAGGCTCTAAAATGTTGTGTTCTAACTTCCCTATGTGTAGACGCTGCTGAGGCACTCTAAAAGGTACCTAGTGTGCGCTGGTATAGACCCATTTGAAGCAATACTACATAAATGTGCTTTGTTTGTCAGCAGGGTCTACACAGTGCACTTAGAGCACAACACTTTAGAGAGCTCTTAAATTTACATCCCTCTGAAGTACATTGCCACACTTTGTAGACAAGCCCAAATTGACTTTCATTGGGACTTGTGCTCCTAATCCCCATAAGTGTTTTCATCTGGGCCTGATTCTGATCACCCTTATACTCCTTTGATTTGTGATTTACACCAGTTTTAGTGAGATCACAATCAGGACCTGTGACTACATACTACCCATTGTCTTACTCTTGTGCTTCTCCTGGACTGTGGTTTTTGATTTTGCAGGGTTTTTTTTTTCTTCCTTGAATAACTGTTTCTGAAAACCCCATTTCAAGAATCAGAAACAGTATGTCACATTGTTTATTAGGCTGAAGTATGCTTTCAACCGGAAACATAAAGGCTGCAGCCACTGCTGAGGCTAATGATGATGGGTGGTAGTGGAAAAAATAAAGTAGGGTGGGTTATGTTTTTGTTTATTTGTTGGAAAGGGTTTTTGTTTACTTTGTTTTGTATTTGTCATTTTGTTACAAATTCCTCCTCTCCCTTATAAGAATGATTGGATTTTCAAAAAACCAGGGGCAACAATAGCTTTGCATTTTAAATGATTGCTAAATCAGAAATGTGTGTTTCATGCTTGGCAACTATACATTTAATGAAAAATACTGTACATTTTTTTCTCTTTCTTCCCTTCCTTCTTCTTTTCCCAGGCACAGTGCTAACATAAACCTGCACCGTAAACTGTTGACCAAAGAACTGGATGACATGGGACTGGACACCTCTCAGCCCTCTCTTAGTAAGGACCTCCGTGATGAATTTTTGGTGAAGATCTATGGCACCCAGCATCAAATGGGGCTTGACGTAAGGGAAGACACCTCCTCACCAGCTGGTACTGAGGATTCCCACATGAATGGGTATGGAAGGGGCATGTCTGAAGACTACATGGTCCTAGACCTGAGCACCACCTCCAGCATCCAGTCTAGCAGCAGTATCCATTCCTCAAGAGAATCTGATGCAGGCAGTGATGAGGGGATTCTCCTGGATGACGTTGATGGGGCGAGTGACAGTGGGGAATCTGCACACAAAATGGACACCCCTGCCATAGGTGTAGGTATGGGTTCCGACCTTCCAGGATCCCTCATGTTCAACAATGTTCCAATGAGCAACGGTGGGATAATGTGTAACATTTGCCACAAAATGTACAGCAACAAGGGGACCCTCAGGGTGCACTATAAAACAGTGCACTTGCGAGAAATGCACAAGTGCAAAGTCCCTGGGTGCAACATGATGTTTTCCTCTGTCCGCAGCCGAAATCGGCACAGTCAGAACCCTAACCTGCATAAAAACATTCCCTTCACTTCAGTAGATTAGTTTAAGGATGGACACGCAAATGCCAGCTCTCACGGAGGGCCTACCATGTTTGAACTGCCATATACAGTCTATATATATATATCTCTGTGTGTGTGTGTGTATGTATGTGTACATACACATACATACACACACACACAGATATATATATATATGTGTGTATATATATATATACACACACACATATATATCTTATTTTTCTTTTTAACAAAAGAAAAACACCAGGTGCTTCTGTTTGTTTGTTTGTTTTCATTTTCCTTTGTTGGGTTTGGGGTGGGGGACAGGGGAAGGTTAAGAAGGGATGGAATCTTTAACTGGGGGTGAAATACCCTCAATAAAAACCACAAAAACTTGCAATTAGCCCCAGTTTTGTTAGGAAATTCTTGGTCATCTCCAAAGAGACAAATTGTTCTACCCATGATTATTGCCTGCAAAAAAAACAAAATACAAAGAAGCAAAAAGAGGGTGGGGGGGAGAACTTCTTGGTTGTCTTTGTGTACTTTAAGCCGTTGGGAGAAACTTCTACTAAGCATGGCTGTTACACTTGTATATATATTGAGCCTTGAGAGGCCTATGATGTAAAACAATTGTATTGATGGTGGTTTAACTCTCTCTTTTTTTTTTTAATTTTTACAGTTACATTCAGCTGTTAGATATGCAGAAAAAAATAGTTTGCTGGCTAGCTCTATTCAATTTATGTTAGCTTTAATGCACATTTTTAAAAGAAACACGGTCTTGTTTTAACTACCTGCTATATATAAGTAATACAGAAGGGCTGGCATGCTTTACAGTACCTGATCTGATACAGCTTTTTTGTCTTGTACTATTACATAAATCCAGTCATGCACTTTTTTCATACACTACAAGGGGATGTGTAATAATATCCATGCTTTTTTTTCCCTAAACTATTGCCATATTTTCAGTAAGTGTCTTTAAAAAAAAACACTTAGATAAAAGTGGTCTGGTCAGTATGGGGCATGAATGCCAAACAAAAAGTATTAGTGTTTAGTGTTAATACAAAAGTGCCAACTTTGCACAAGTTTTCAGAAAAGAAAATATAACTAGTTACTCACTGTAACCAGAGGCTGAGTTTTTGGCTAACAGAAAAATGCTAGGGGAAGAAAAACATAAAGAACACTTGGTGCTTTTTTCAAGTGTCAAATATTATTAGAATCAACAGTGCATCTTTATTTCTTATATGTTACATTACATAAAAGGAAAACAGAATTATGTGGTGTGAATCAGTGGAGGCATTTCCTCTGTTGAGCAAGGATAATATTGCAGGATATAGATGCTGAAATTACTTACTGCAGAACAAAGCTAGATACAGTGAATCCATTCTGGTGCTCCTTATTCCTGGGCTTTTGTGTTCTTAAAAAAAAAAAAGAAAGAAAGAAAGGAAAAAAAAGTCTTAACTCTGTTGTTCTGTAAAGTTGTCTGATTTGCAGTGGAAAGTGCTGTAGTATGATTAAGGCATGTTTTATAAAAGCAAACGAAAGACATTAATGGCAGAAGCACTTAGAAGCACTGAAAACACGTGCTGGACTTTTTATTGGGTTACCTTCCCTTTGGATAAATTAGAGGCAAAACCAAAACTATAGTTGTGTTAATGTTTTGTGTTTTACCCATATGGTAAAAGAAGAATCAGAGAAGAATGAAAAGAATCATCAGAGAAGAATGAAAGTAGTCCAGGAAAGATAGTGAGAGAAAGAGAGAGAGAAAGGGAACAAGCAGTTGAAAGAGACTGAGGGAGAGGCTGCCCTCCGAATCTTTTTTTGTTTCCGGTGTTTACACATGGTGCTTGAGCTGGTAAACCGCACTGGCAGCCTAAGCTACCACAACATACTGACTGAATGATGATATTTACTTAAGTTCAGCCTACAGCCAAAACCATTAGGGTGTGTGTTATAGACTTTTTTTTAAGCCAAGGAATATTTCAGCATACAATGCTCACTTAAAGACAATGTATTCCTTTTCTGTATTTAATGGCCTCGAACATTTCTCTTGTTACGCTGAGAGTCAGAAATGCTCCTTTGTTTCAGCTTCAGGTTGTTTTGATTTGTTGTGCATTTTGATCATTTTGTCCACATGAGCACTCACTCCTGTTAAATTTGCCAGAGGAAACGGTTTATGTGGATCCTTTCCCTTTGGGATTCATTGTACATTTCAGTATTCCAAAAGTGAGACTCAACAGATAATGCAGTGTTTCCATTTGTAGAAAATAAAATTAATTTAAAAAAAAATCCTTCAAAAGAGACTGAAACCATGTTTCTATAGGATGTGTTATTTAAGATGAGCTTCTGGTCACTCTTTAGTAATGTACAGTGAGAAAAGACTGAAAACATCTGTGGATTCCATAGAAACTATATGAAAAGTCCAGTGTGTCAGACAAGAAATATGTACAGCAAAATCCTAAGCAGTTTTTGCTGACTTATTATTTTACATTTTTTCACTTTTCCCCAAATTCTTAAATATTTTTCCTCGTCAAATTAAGAGAAGAGATCTGCTCTGTTTTATGTTTGTACATGTCCAGTATGCTTTTGAAAGAGGGAAGTTAGAACAGTAAAGGTGAATTCTTCTCAACATATGAACCTTTGTAGTGTTATCTGTACTGCACTCCTGTCACAATCCTAAGCTATTAGGAATCAAGCAAGATGGAAAGTTTGAAAGACAAAACAAAAATAACTGAATATCTACAGAAAAACACTGTTTTTGAAGTATGTATGGTATAAATAAATATCTTTTTTTAATGAAAAACACATTTGAGGTATATAAATAATTCTTTACTGGATGAATCACTGTTCTGCATTCTCATTTTACTCTGTTTCTGCTAAAGGTCAAATGGTTTTGGTAAACTAGTTTGGAAAGTTAAACATCATCAGCAGATCAATTCAGCAAATGAATTACACAGAAAATGTCTGTTTATTACACAAAATGAAACAGCATGTTAGAAGAGTATAACGGATCAGAGACAAACCTCCGAAAGTTTTTTTTTAAAGCTCTGCGGTCCTGTTGTCACAACATCCTAAACTAGTCCCCCATTGTGTTTAGGCATTGTAGGAGAAGATGACTGTTTATAGAACAGCTCAGCATTCTTCAGTATCACCCTCCCACTGCTTGGAGAGGATCTTACATGCTGCCATATCTAGACGTAATTAATGTATTCCCCCAACACTTGTGATGGCTTATGACAGTGGTTGGTTTTGTGAGGACACTTAAACTCCTATTGAATTGAATGGAAGATTCCTCCCCCTGCCCCCATGCAGCTCACTAAGAGTCCAAAGTCATCAGCGATATTCCTGTGATAAAACTCGCATTGTTTGAAATTCTGTAAAAATCCCAAATCCCAAGGCATATCAGTGGCTTGCATAAAAATGAGTTTGGTCTTAATCCAGGTTCTAGTGGACATCATGGGGGGGAAAAAACACCGTAGCTGGCATTAGCGGGCATTCTTAGCAGAGACCATGGATTGAATGAGTATAGAGACTGAACCTACTTCTCTCTCCAGGTCAGGACTGAGGTGGGGAAGCTTGCACTCCTGCCCATGCTGTAGTTCTGTGACTAGCTCTTCAGTTTCCAGGACTGCCAATCCTGCACCTTTCACACGAGCTAAATTGACATGGTGGGGGAGGAGGGAAAGGAAACACTTCAGTTTACTCATTTCAAGGAGAAGTTGCTCCATCTGAAAAAGTTATGTTCCGGTAGTTAGTGAGCATGTGTGCTAAGTTACCTTGATATTTTGTTTGTTTCAAAATAGATGTATTTTTTGTAAATATCAAAAGGGTTTATTCCACGGGGAGGACTAACTGCATGCTAAACCTCCTTCTTTAAAGAGAGCCACTTCTTGTCTGGAGCTTGTGTGCTGCTGCGGCGGCTTCTTTGGGTTTTTTTTTTTAAAGAAAGCATGTGATACCAGATAAATACTATGTTCCTTCTGAATCCCTGGTACTAAACCAGTCTAGAGAGAGGCAGTGTGGTTGAAAAGCAGAAGCCAGGAACTCCTGAGTTTTGGCACTCTGTCTGCCTGCTTTGGTCTTGGGGAATTCACTTCACTCATCTGTGAATATGGGGATAATAAATAATACTACTTCCCTCGCAGGGGTGTTGTGAGGATTAAGTAGTTGTTTGTAAAGAGTGAACATAAGTATGAAGTATTATTACACAGATTACCATATTTAGATCATATCTGTGAACTATGTCTCAGCCTGATAGATGTTGAAATGGCTGAGATTTTAACTCTCCCTCCTGCCCCATGAAAAAGAGGTTGATAATGCAAAACCCACCCAACACTAAAACTACAGCAGGCAGCATGGTTACCTTGTAATAATGAACATGTACTGCAAGCACTTGGTCACAACTGAATGTAATCAGTTGTGGAAGGTTTAGGCTAAGATGCCTATTTAGCACTTACACATTGCTCTAAAAAAAAAAAAACCCTCTAAAATGTTTTTCAGGAACCCTGCTCATAAAAATTGACTATTTCCCAGGGAAAATTAGACACTTTCAATTTGGAAATTGTGGACTGCACTTGTTCTGTGTACAATTCACATATTTTCTTTCTTTCTCTTGTGGAAGTAAAACTCCATCTCCTCCACCCATTCCAGAAGAATGTAAATGTCCCTGCTCCCGTTCCCCCCCCCCCATCCCCAAAAAAGGAACTGATCAGGGAAAGAAGTCAGGTCATGCCCCAACATGCAAAGTATGTGCCTGGGCATCACAAGAGCTCAGCTCAGAATCAGGTCCAATATATTTAATGCTGGAAGGGGGCCTGCATGACCCTGTCTGTCTGAGTTTACCCTGTCTGTCTGGGTTTTATCTAACGTATTAAATATAATTAAGTATCCAACACAGTTGTTTGTATAGTGATCAAGATTTTGTTTGAGCCATTCCAAAGATAAGGACCATCCACAAAATGAGAGATCACGTTTTGAATTCCAAAGCACACTTTCCTTCAGTAAGTCTGAGGGGGTTAAAATCTAAGGACTTGAGTTGGACCAGATTTTAGCAGTAGTATATGGGACATCAACTATCTTAAACATACAGGACATCTTTTGAGAAATACATTTGCCTCCACTCAACAAATTCCCAGAAGATTTTTCACTGTTTTTGGAGAGGAAAATGTTTGTTCTAGAAATGTACACATGCTCCTTTACATTTTAAATGCCAACTATTTGTTGAAATAAAAAATAGAAGCATTCGTTCCCCTGACCCCCAAAGACTGTTTTCTTTACTTCTCTTTGTTTAGGTATATTAACAGAATGATTTTTTTATTTGAAGAAAAGGTGAAAAGTTCTCTGAAGTAGGTGCAAGAAAGCAGCTGGAGTTCTCTGTGGGGAGAAGGTGAGTGGCAGATGCATGATGGCAGCTGGTGCGTGTCAGGGTTTTTGTTTTTTGTTTTTCTTGTGTCACCACTTTGCTGCTATAGTAACACAACAAAACAGTGACTTTAGTGCTACTTTGTTAGACAAGGATCAGCTTATCCCCTGTCACCCTATGATGAGCTGCTCCCCGCCCAATGAATATGAAATGAACTTTTTTCTATGCCCAATTTTTTTGATTTCCACACAGAGCTACATCATATGGTGGCCTGAACCCTTCACCCATGTGTTCGCATAAGTACAAGTCTGCTCCAGTCCCATAGCTTGTGTCTCGGCATCCAGCATTATCGCTCCCTATAAAAGGTCTGTGGCAGAATGACAAAGTGACTCCCATGCATCAGTATCATTATTATTATTTTTTTAGGTCTTTACATAATTCTCCTCATTATAGCTTGTTTCCTGGTCCTACCATCATTACTAGTTACAGTATATTAAAAAAATAAAAAAAAAAAGACACCTTTGTCCTTTTGGTCAAGCCACCGGTCAAAAATTTCCCAACACTAAATAACATTATGTTTGGCATTAGCACTAGGGGAAAAAAATTCTTTGGCTGGCAAGGAGTTAAAAAAAATAAAAAACAGATGCATTTTTGGCAAGTCCACTGATTTGTCAGCATTATTGTTCATTATGATGCCACTGTATTTTTTTAAACAGCAACATACTGTAGTTGTCATAAAGCTATTTTTCCATTTCTCTCCTCTAAAGTGTGGTGTTGTAAATTCATGTGACCTTTACCGAAAAGAATAAATACTTTTTTTATATATAATATCTCAAGACAAGGCCTGGTTTGTAACAAATAGTGGCCCATTACAAAACAGGAAAAAAACTGAGCTGAGCAGCAAGAAGCTTCAGTTCAATTTCACCTCATATCTTTCTAATAACTTACTTGTCACTTTATTACCTTCCAGTAATGTGAATGCTGCTGACAAGACTGTCACACTAACAGCAGACAACACCCTCTCTTCCTCGGCCCCAGCTCTCCTGGCTACTTATTGCGCTGGCCCTGAAGGGACACAAACTAATAGTGTGCTTTCAAGTTCAGCACTTGGCCATCAAATATAAAAGGATGCGTAATTGCCTGTTTATCCCTTGTGAAGGGGAAATTGAGTACAAGAACTAGGCTTTCCCTCTGAGTTCCCTGACATGCACGCGCGCACTCTCTCACACACACAGGCACAAATCTGCAGTGAGAGGAAGGGAGGTCCCATCTGGAGTTCTTCGATTTGTCTTTGGGAAGCCCAAGGCTGCCACTGGCTGCTCTATCCAGCTATCAGGCAGACAGTAACAAGATGACTTCTCAACAAAAGGTCAGCTGAGAAATGCTGTCTGAAATGGCACTTTTGTCTGCTTATGTAGAAACTAATTGTTTTGGATCAGCATAAAGCCATGCTGTGCCTGTTAGAAATAGGCACATAGGCTAGCTACAGGTCTCACTGTTTAAGTTAGATGGTAAATTGGATGCATGCTATTTTTCTGGATTAGCTCATTCTGTGGCAAAATTTATTAAGGGCAAAATTCTCTCCGATCCATACAGTGAGTACCCCTGTATGGATCTGAGAGAATTTTGCCCTTAATAAATTTTGCCACAGAATGAGCTAATTCAGAAAAATAGCATGCATCCAATTTACCATTCTGCCTCAATATGCACATCTCATGTTGAGGTCATTGGGAATCTCCATGGACATAGTGAAAACACAATATTAGAGAGACAGGCTCTGCTGTCTGATAGGAGGAGAAATTTGCCCTGATTTTTTTTTAATTAAAAAGGGCATTGATAAAACTATAGATTCAACTTCTCAAGTGACATAGGCAGGAAAGAAAGTTAGTGGGAGAAAATAATTTGGAAAGCTATACTATTTTTTTTTAAACTTAGAATTCTAAGTTGAGGAAGCAAACATTCTTGGGAACTAGATAGATGCATTGTCCAAGACTGCTCTCCTTCCTTTAGCTCTGCTTGTGTTTTTTATCAAAGCCTGAGTTTGACTGGACACCCTGTGAAAGCTCAAGATGCTGGAGGAGTAATTGAAACATAATTTTCTTGTAGTGTAATTAGAATATATATAAAAAAATGTTAAGCCATACTTTCCTGTAGCACTTATGACCAAGGTTTCTAGGGGCAGTTATCACTGTAATTTTGAATGGTACAGGAGTTCATGGAAGGCCAGTGCAATACCTAAAAACTGAAGGTTGGATTCAAACAAAGCATGGAGTGGTCAATTTTAAAACCTATTTTGAGGTTTATCAGCATAGATTTGTGTCATTTGGCCAGGGCCGGCTCCAGGGTTTTTAACACCCCAAGCGGTGCAAAAAAAAAAAAAGTCGCGATCACGATCTGCGGCGGCAATTTGGCGGGAGGTCCTTCACGCCGAGAGGGAGTGAGGGACCGTCCACCAAATTGCCGCCGAATAGCTGGACGTGCTGCCCCCCTCCGGAGTGGCCGCCCCAAGCACCTGCTTGGCAAGCTGATGCCTGGAGCCGGCCCTGCATTTGGCTAGAGGTGCAGCGAGGTGATGACTAATTGGAAGCAGCTTCTGTTTGCAGGTCCTTAATGCTCAAATCTCTTCAGTCCTATATTGCAGTTTGGTTCTGGTTGCAGTGGAGGTGATGTTCCTCACTATAAATAAGCTAAGGCCTTTTAATGACCAGGCATAAAGTCATTGATCTTTTCCTTCCCCCTCTATCCAAGTGCACCAGAAATTATAATAAGGGACAAATTAACAGACATTTTCTGAAGGGGTGTTGGCAGGAGGGGAATAGGCTGTCCATTTCCTAAATCAAAGGTTGAGTCCAAATTGTGCCCACACATCAGACCCACACTGGGGTTACACCGAGTGTAAAAGGAGGCAGAATTTAACCCAAATCAGATAAGCTAACACATAATTCAGGCTAGAGTAGACCCCTTCTTTTGGTAGCATTGTTGAATGCTGTTTGAGGAAACTGAGCACTTTCTGAGCAGAGAAACATTTTGGGTTCAGGGAGCTTTTTCCTGTATGTTGGTGCATTTAATGATCCCAATGTGACTGACAGATCTATATCTTAACAGTTTTAGAACAGTTTAGAACTGAGGCTATAGAAGGCCTAAATTGTATGGAATGTGGCATATCTGCCTGTATGTTTCCCCCCCAAACCCTAAATAACACAGGACGCTTGAATGAGTATAGTTCTAATGTGTTTCCAAGCGGTGTTTTCAGTTGGTGAACTTCCTATTTCACATCTTTGGAAAACAAAGTATTTTGCGAACATGAAGAAGAGCATCCATTGTAAATATATGTCTTGAGCAGAGAGAAAAACACTAGCTAAGTGACGCATAAAGATTTTATAAGGCGTCCATTGTCAAACAGAAGGTTAAGAATGATCAGATGATAATGCACGGTTAGGATGGCAAACTCATCAATAGTTAATCAGAATCTGTCCATTTCAGTTATGGAATGCAAAAGACTGTGAAAGGTGACTCTGGGGAAACAGTGGCACTGGTGATTGTGTGTTGTGTGTGTCTGTCTGGGTGGGTGAATGGATGGAAGAGGGTAAAACTGAAAGTTATGCAATCACTAGTCATAGCTCTAAATTGTTTTATTAGGTGCCTGTCTCCCTTTACCCCCACCACTTTTACATTGGTAGAAGAGAATGCGTCCTTCCTGTCCCACCTGTGAAACGGTACAGTAGTTGTGTGACTTGTGACTCTAGAGGTATTCCTCTTGGTCTCCCAGACAATGTACTGGGTAAATAGGTTGACTTGAAATGTATAAATTAAGGTTGGTTGGTTTGTTTATTTTTTGACCATTGTTTAATTAGGAGGGTTTTTTTAATATGTCTCTGTACAGTTATTCAAACCCCTCATTTTCTCCTTTGCCCAAACACTTCACCTTCCCCCACAAAAAATAACACAGCTGCCTGATATTGCTCCCCTTGGGTTTGTGTGTTTTACCCATATGAACGTTTGCAGTTTGTAAAGTGATTATGTGAATGAAATGTCCTAGTATTATATGTTTATCTGACATGGCTGTCTATAAATATAAAATCCAATGTGCTGGTTTTTCTTGTGCAAACTTTGGTTCATGTGCCACACAAGGAGCTTTCCCATCATGCAGTTGTTTTTTAAGAGCAGCATTCTCTGTGTTCCCTGCGTGGTGTGTTCTCAGTTTGTTCTTACTGTCTCTGCTTCTCTCAAAAGCTCGCCATGTTCTGTGCTCCAGAGCAATGTATGTACGGTACATTTGATTCGAACCTTGAATGCATTCAGAATTGACTTTTAGTTCAAGTTCAACCTGGGTTTGTTTGACCAAAAGTTGGTAACTCAAATTCTGGTTTTATCCATGAACTTCTCAACAGAGGTGGTTCAAACCCACCATGAAAGGGGTTTTTGCTGTATCTGAGGCTCCTGTCTGCAAGCACATTTGTTGTTTTATTAGTGTTCACTAAGAAAGGTCACATGGACCAAACTACATGGTATTTTCCAATATAGCCGCTAATTATGCTTCCAGTTCTAGCAAACTAGAAACATCTGAATCTTGCCTATTGGTACACACAGAGATTTCAAGCATTGGTAAACTGGGTTTGAACCTTTATGAATCTTGGGGCCTCTAACTCCGCGCATACCAGTTCAGTCACACAAAAAAGCCCATGAACCCTTTTCTAACTGATCATAGAAGGTTTCTCATGGCTCTGGTACATACGCTCATTGTTGTTCAGTAACATGCCAAGTACATTTGGGTGCTGGGGAAACATGCTTCTTCAATGTGGCAAAACCACTGCTGTCTTTCCAAGTTAAACTTGTTTAATGGACTTTACTGTTGCCAGGCACATGTTCCAGCAACAATAAGATTTTTGGGGGGTGAACAGTTTTGCAGTCTTTAATATATTAGCCTTTTGTTTTTCCTTTTTGTTCTCGGTGTGAGTGAAACATGAATGCTCTGCTATCCTGCCTGCAGAACCAAAGCATGCACTACAGAATATAGCTGTACCAGGGGAATTGAAAAGCTTGCATCACATTGATCTAATAATCATGACATTGGTAGCTTCATAAATACTGTATGTACCCTAAACAAGTTTTTTCCATTAGTAGTCTGAGGGAATTAGAAGTCCTGTTTTTAATTTGATATTTCTTCTTGTATTTTCTGTACTATAACTGTCCTACAGTATGTCTTTTGCATAAAATGCATAAGGGTTTGGGGATGTAAATGGAATTTTATTCATATTTTGTCCAAATACCTCTTGTAATTTGTATCAAAATTCTTGTACAATTTTTATATTAAAGATTTATCAGTCACTGACTTCGCTCTCCCTCTATCTGTTCTTAATTTTAGCATGACTCACAGCCGTTTACAAATGTATATGTAGTACATGTCCACTGAAGTATTCTCACCTACACACAAAACTGTCTCATGTTATTTTGAGAGCTGTACACAACACTTATGGGATTTGCCCGTTTTATTTGGGAAAATAAACTTGTATTAACCTTGAATAGAAAAAAAGGATTTTTTTTTTTTGCCACGAATATCTTGTTTTCTGGGCTTCTACAGACATATCACCAGTTAAAAACTGACCCTTTCATCCTTTACTTTCAATGTGTCCCAACTGCAGCTGACTGATTTTTAAAAAAATATTTTGAATTTTTGGACAAATTTAGACTAACTCTAGTGCTAACAGACAACAGTTCACCACTCTTTGCTATCATTGGCTATTCTCAACCCACTGTACCTATCTAAGGTACTTATATGGCCCTCATTACCATGGTATTTGAGTACATCACGATCTTAATGTGTTTATTTTCACAGCACCCCTATAAGGTATGATAGTGCTATTATCCCAACTTATAGAAGGTGAACTGAGGTACAGAGAGACTGTGACTTGCCTGGGGTCATATGGGAAGTCTGTGGTACAGCAGGAAATTGAACTTAGGTTGCAAGCACCCTAGGCTAGCATCTTAACCACTACACAGTCCTGCCACTGCCACTTGTAAAGAAAAATGTGTGTTCAGTACTAGTATCCTGTTAATTAAGCTGGGAACTTTGGTTAAAGATTCACAGCCCTTGGCAAGGGCCAAGTGGAGGTGGCATGGGGATGTCGGCAATGTCCATCTCCTCCCTGACCTTAGCACAGTGATCTAATGTGGGGCCTTCAGTATTACTACTCAAGGATTTTTCTCAGGCTCCTTGCTGCTGACCTTTAGCTCCAAATTGCAGACATTGTGGGGGTGTCCCGGAGACCAGTGTCAGAGTAAAATAAATTAGTTTCATTTTATTTTTTTTAAGAATCTGTTCCTTTTCTGCACTGCTGTGGGCAGTCACAGCAGCTGACAGAATGACGACAATATTCTTTCAGGGTAAATGCTTTTGTTTCAGTTTGTATTCTCATGGCACTAATGATTTCTGCATATTGTGCTTGTTATCTGGAAAGAAAACAAGCAGATGGAGAGATGTCTCATAAGATGGTATTTCTGTGTGTCTTACTATGTTTGGAGGAAGTGTAACAAAGAGACCAAATTACTGGCATATCAGAGACAATGTATTTGATCATGATTCATAATAATTTTCCTTACCCAGACATTCCTAGTTGAGGAAATAACACAAATCTTTTCTTTAAGCACTCAATCTTACAAACCGCTGAGCACTCTGGCCTTGATCCAACAAAGCATTTAAGCATGTGCTTAACTTTAAGCATGCATGTGATCTCAAATTCTTTCAATGGGACTTACAATTAAGCACATCCGTAAGTGCTTTGCTGGAGTGGGCCAGACTGGTCAACACCTTGCATGATTGAGCCTTCCACAATGATGGCCTGGGCACAGGCCTGGGAGTCAGGACACCTCGGTTCTATCCATGGCTCTGCCACAAACTTCCCATCAGACCTTGGGAGAGCCAATAAACTCTCCCGTTGCCTCAGTTTCCTCATGACTAAAATGGAGATAACAAGACTTTCTTTAACCTATCACCAGATCTATTCTTTTACAAACCACTTAGCCCTAAAACATAAGTTTCCCCCCACTTCCACTAGTTTTCATGTAGTCTGTGCCCTGAGGGGCATTACCTAAATAGACAGAATAAGATGTCCCATTTTGGCCACTAACAAAAGCCTTGAGAGGTTCTTTACTCATTTCCCTGTTTTTCATCACTGCCACATAAACAGCCTAATAAGGAACTGAATGGTTTTAATCTATTACTGACTTCCAGTTGTTAGCTTTTAGATCCCTTCTATGATCCATTTTCATTTTTTTTTCTCTCCTCCCCCACTCCCCACCCCCCACAAAGAATGCTGCAAGCAAATGCAGCCCTTTTTAATTTTTATGGAGGGGGGGGAGTAAGGGGGTGAGAAAAACATTCCCCAAAGTTGTTTAACCTTTAAAGTTAACCTCTGTTGAGGCATGTGGTTATCCTCCCATGTTATTAAATGTCATAGATGTGTTAATGTAGTTCTGCATAGAAGCCAAGCATAATTATAATCTTTTCATCTGTCATAACACATCTATAATTGGCATGAATTCCCCTCAAACAGATTTTTTGTAATGTAAGATTTTCATAGTCAGAGAAGGGATATGAGCAGGCACCCATAAAGACAGCTTTTGGCACAGCACTAAGCTAACTGCCTGGGTGAGAGCCAGTCAGCACACACTGGGCCACTTGAAAACTTGCCGTCTGCTTGTTGACTCCCTGCAAGTTGACAACATGATAGTAGATTAAGTGCTACTAATTTAATAAAGCTACTCCTACGATGATGTTGATCTATCAACAATGGGGGGGGAGGAGGTTGGGAATAAAAAGAGCATTGAAATGCCTGAAGTAATACTGAAAAAACCACTATTGATCTTGCATGAGGTGGTTATTTTTAGTCACCTGACTCATGCTCACCCAATCATTACCTATATTCATCAGAGACAGTATAATGAACAGATGTATTGATTAGCCAAGGTAGCTAGAGATATTTCCCAACAGTGCTAGCTCACATTGATAGGTCTCCAATGGGACTACATGCAAGTGCAGCCCTGTAACATAACTTATTGTGTTCCAGGTCCTTCAATTGATTTTGTTTTAAGAAAAAAAATACACAGTGGCTCTCCCTTGACCTTTAGCTGAAACCTCTCTGGAAAGAAGAACGTGAAATGACAGAGCAAATAAACATTGCCAGTTACATTTTCAACTGTAATGTTAAGGCCCAATTGTGCTATGAGCTGAGAGCACTTGACTTGCCCTCATTTCAGTGGGAGTTGAGAGCACTCAGTACCCTGTATGACTGGGCCCTTGGGTTGCAAGTACTAATCTTTTGCCAGAGTCCCAGTATAGCCAACTCATTTTAAGCCTACTCCATCAAAGATGAATGTTACTATTATCCCATAAAGTTCAACATATGGTTTAGTAAAATTTGAATGCTATGCTAATTCCACTGAGCTGGCATGTTAAAAACTCAATTCAGCCCAGTAGTGCGTAGACCCCAAAGTCTGGGATCCCAGTAAGCTTGAAACTTTCCAAACATTTTTCTCTCCTGGCAGGAATTCTCAAGCTGCAGTTCCTTGAATGTTCTTTATCAGGTTTCCTGCCTGGCCTAGGATTGGCTTTGCCCCTTTAAGTTCTTTAGGGTAGTGTGCTGCTGATTACTAATTTGGGCTTTGATTCTTCTCAGAAATTCATTGTTATCCACATGCCACAATCATTATAAAACTTCTGCTTTTTGACAAGTTACATGCTGCTTAAAAGTCCAATTCATAACTGTAAACCAGGAAGGAGGAAATAGAGAATGGGAGGAGAGAGAGCTCTTATAAACAACCCTGTCCAACAACCAAGTAAGGTCCTCAGTGCTCCTTATTAGATATATTAATGGTACTCAACTTGTATAGTAGTGAAACACTGGAAATAATGACTCTTAGCAGTGTAAATTTACAGCACCTTGGTATTCCCAAATGTCCCACCGTATATATGAGTTCATCTCACCAACATATTCTGACAACTTTTATGAGAGATGTACTCTGAGTGTCGTTTCTGTTTCTTAATTGCCTTTACTCACCGCAGTAAAAATATCCACCCTATAAGATGTCCTTTGTTTTTCAAGATTATATTTTTATAGAATCACCCTCAACCTTATCTTTAAAAAAAACATAGTTTTTAAGACCAATTTAAGATTTCTTGGCTAGAACATTTAATTTAATCAGTCCAATATATTTTGATCCTCTGGGTTTGGAATGGAGTTTGATTCCTTTCCAATGTGTCAGGTCTCATAGAAAAATCTGAAGTGCTACAATAATTATGAATTACATACTCTACACTGCATAGAGTGGCTTCATGTTATTGGAAGATTTCAAAAAATATATAAGCAGATGAATTTGGAGGCTATTAGGGCTCTAGGCATGTGTTAGTGTGAAGTGATTTAAAGTGATTAGGCCACTATCAAGTTTTTAGAGCACTTCATTCTTACAAATTTAAGTGCTATTCAAAATTCAGAGCACTCTCATAATTTCACATCTTTCTGCTGTGTCCTTCACCAAAACTACAATTGCAATTTTCACTTTTTTCTTCCCTTTGAAAATACAAAATTGTGTGCCTCCTTTTTTCACAGTCATTCACAACGTAACAACTCTGTACTGTTTTAGGGTGCAGGAGGCTTGCACAAGGGCCTATATACCACTTAAATGCTTAATACAGGACTTAAGTAGTTTGTAGGGCCTTGAGAGCATTTTTTGCACTGGGTTGAATTTCAGATAGGCACCTTCCTACTATGCTGATAGGTGCCTTATAATTACCTAAACGATAGATACACATTACATCAGTTTGAGGGTAAAGTATATAGGTCATTTTTCAATCTTGTGTTCCTTGAAAAACCACAAACATTTTAAATTTGAAAATACAAAGATTCTTTCATGATTCCCAGATTATATCGCAAGATTTAAAACATTACAGTTGCTGTATAAATTTTTTCCAGCATGTTTCTCTGGTCATGTCATTTTACACCGAGTAGGTTCCACTTTGGTTTGGGTTTGTCCAGCCCTCTCTGGCAAAGGAAGGGTCTGACATACAGGAGTGGTGATAAGAAACTGAACTTTTATTTCTTGGCCCTAATCTTATGATTAGGTGGCCCCTTTAAGGGGAGATGGGCCCAGTCCCATCTGTAACAAACTTGACTTGCCTCACCAGGTGGAGAGAATGAGTAATGTCTTATGATGGATGGGTCATCTGGCTAAGTCAGGGCTCTGGGGTGGATAGGAGAAGCCTGTGGAGAGACAGAAGGGCCAGACATGAGAGACTACAGGTCTTTTCATGAGAGACATGGGAGACTACAGATAGGA